ATCCGTCCCCTGCTTAGCCATCATCGCAGCGTGGGCGTGCGAAGTGTTCCGTTCGACGTACACGCGAACGGGCCAGCTGATCAGCGTTTGGTACGTGGACAGGACTTCGTTCACGGTGTCGACGACGAGGTCTGCGTGCACGTCCAACAAGGAATCCATACGGTCGACAGTGGCGACCACGGGCTTCGGAGCTAGAATCTGCGAAAGAGACAAGAAAACGGTGTTAATAAAAACGGAGCAAATTCTCTGGTTTCTAACTAATTCGCGTTAAAATATGTTGAGGAGAGCTTTCCATCCTTGAGAACGCAAAGACCTCTTCGTCCGATTGAAGAGGGAGACCGACGCCAAGGCGGTAACGGCCGAGATAAACGCATCGGGTTTGTCGCACGGCGAGCTCGTTACGAGAACCTACGGCAGAGAAAACGTTAAGGACGCGAACGCAACCGTGGAGGACATGACGGAATTCAGAGCGAGCAGATCGGTTCTGATTCACACCCTGACCGCCGTCGGGGCCGCCACCTCACCGGAGATCGGTCGGCTCGAGGAGATCGCCAACCTGGAAAAGACGGTGCTCATGTCGTTCGAGCTTGCCAACCTCGTGTACGTGCCCGGCGTGGAAACCGAGTACAGGAATTCGGAACCTACAGGAATTTGGAACCGGAGGAAAGACACTGGATAATAGATAGCGCGAAGAACCTCGCGAACCAGCTGCTTACCAACAGCTACGATCAGCCGCTGTGGAACTCGATCGGAGGTTCGCCCATGGCCGCGGCCGTGTCCGTCCTTCAGACGCGGGTGACGAACGCGGACGCCGGCGAACGGGGCACCGCGATCTGCCGAGGTCCGCGAAACCACGCGACGTACGCGCTGAGAAGGATAACGGAGAAGAGAAGCAGGGTTTGCAAGATACCGCCCGTGAGGCTCACCTGTCTGAGATTGCCGTCGGAGGTCATCGCCCCCGCGACCAGACCTATGCCGGACACGTCCGACGGCGTGGGATCCACGGCGATCAGCAGACCGGATGCGAATCCGGATCTCCTGCCGGACCTCCGTTCTTCGTCGAACAGCCGGGAGAGCAACCTTCCTGAGAAAAGACGTTCTGCGAGCGACGAAGGCGAGCAGACGGGAATGCCCAGGCATTCCAGCTCGTAGCTTCCGCTCGCAATCAGATTCATCATCTGCTGCACGACGTTCCCCTCGCTACCGTCTATGTGTTCCGGAACCAGGTGCCTCCGGTGGGGACACACCTTGCGGACGCCTCTCTCGAAGCAGGCGTCGCGTGACGTACTTTACGAGAGGTCGTCCCTCGTGTTTGATCGTCACCAGTTCCTAGGGACCAGTGCTCGCTGGAGGTCATCGACGACGTGAGCAGAACCGACACGTTCTTCAGTTGAAATACGGGCAAGGTGGATATCATCGCCGCTTGCTTCATCCAAGGGTATTCGTCCATCCATCCATGGTCGCATCCTGTTCCTCTGGAAGCCTGAAAACATATAAAAAAAGGAATTTAGAGAAATAATGCGAAAGATGGCTGCGGCAGCGCTCAACGCGTATGTGACAGCGAAACATCTACCACGTCGACGAACTTCACGAATGCGTGCCGAATGCGTGCGGATTCGCGGAACCGCTGCAGGACGGTACACACTTCGTATGCGAAAAGTCTCTCCGGGTCCACGTCTTCGCGGCCGACGAACGAATTTGCGCGATCCAACATCTGGACCACAACGTCAGAAGATGTTTGTTTACCGGCAAGGAGTTCTACCTGAACGATTATGAACCGGAGGTTGTGGGACGCGACCTGCCGATGTTCGTGGGACAGAGACGAGACGCTTCCAGGACACGGAGTAGGGACGGCGCCATGGCACGTTTCGCGGACGCAGTTGACAGGGTGTTGAGAAATCTCACGAATCGAGAAAAGCGACGTGAGTACACCCGCGCGTTCTTCGTGAAGAGGGGACTGGACATCGTCATGAGAAAGTTGGAGAGGGAGACAAAGTTGATGCAAGCACTGAGGAATCGTTTCTGGTGCACGTCTCTTCCGAAAGGTTACCGGACGAGGGTGCTGCGATCGACGAATCGTTTCTGGATGACGTCAAGCAGTTCGTGTGCGACCTGATGACGATTCTGCTCTGCTATTCCGAACAGACTGAATCGAAGAAGTATTTCTTGCTATCGAACTCGGACGAAAGTACTTTGTACCTGCTCAAGATGACCGTGTACGGCGTTCGCTTCGAGAACTCCGTCGTGCTACTGCCTAGGTTCCATCGGCCACCACTTCCCGGAGACCGGCTGCTGCCTCGGATATTCGAGGTGAGCACGTCCCGTCTGACGGAATGTTCGAATCTGCTGCAACGGATGATGGGCGAGAAGGTGTGCAGGTTTCGGATGAAACAATTAAATCGTTAAAAACTTTAAATTTTCGTCTCTGTTTCTTTCTTTTTGTCAAATTGTCATTCGTGTGCATGCGCGAAGATGCTGCTGCAGCTGCGGCTGCGGAGGCGGCGGCGGCGGCCTCGTCCTCCGATATTCCCCGTGGCGCCGGAATAACCGAATCAGGTTCCGTTATCTTGGACCATCTTCTAACCGTTTCCGGTTCCACGTACCAAGAGGTGAGGCGGATGCGTTTGCTAGCCGACGAACGCCAAGACATCTTGGGTTGCCCGGCCGAACGCAGGTTGTCATTAATGACAAGGACGAACAAACTTTAATGGCAACTAGAGTTCCCGGTCTCGCCGGCACTTCTACCTCGACAGCCGACGAACGATCGGCGAGATCCCGAGAGAAGAAGAGAAAGGCGCCGACGGAAAAGGCGAACACCAAGCAACCTCGCATGGACAACAATTACGAGAGGCGCGTTCACGCGCAGCTTGCCGACACCGAACTCACTACTACGGGGTTAATGCGCATGGTTTCCACGTCGTACAGATCCGGATACGCACCGTCGGGTTTGATGATGGGTCTGTCCCCTCAGCTGGTGCGCGTAAACGGATTCGAACGTCGATTCGTCGACGCCTTCGTCTCCGGAACCGTGTGCGGCGACATGTAGACCGACCAAGGGAACCCGGACAACGCGTGCGATCTCAATGGTTTGTTCGAATGCCTGTGCAGTCTGCTCTTCCTGCTGGCGAAGATTCTCGAGACGAACGAGTACAGCGAGATGAAAGAGAGCGTGAGAACCATGTGCGACTGTCTGTTTCTCGGCGGTAGCTT